TAGAACTCAGTAACTCTGAAGAAATAAAATTCCGAAACCATTAATTTTAAATCTTGGTTCCACCTATGATGCGGGTCTACTTAAGCTCTTCCTTGAATGATTACACCAATTATGCAACGTTAAAATCAACTAAATATGAATTAAATCAATAACTAAATTGGTAATTCATTTAAAGCTTAGTATGTTAAACTACTAATTAAACTCATAAAATTATAAGGATTAATAGATTAGAAAAAATTATAGTAGTAATATGTGAACCAAATAAACTCATAAAAATATAAGGATTAATAGGTTAGAAAAAAATATTGTAAAGTTAATTGAGAAACTAATTTAAAGTTGAAAAATTTAAATTTTATAAATTCTATTTATAAATACCTTTAAATCGGATGCCGTGTCACACAAACGAATAACAATTATACTGTCTCACAATGTACTTATCTTATATATATGAATAATTGCAGCTGACAAATCCATTTCCAGACCTAACAATTTCTTATATATAGCTTACCCATTTCTATTTATGTTTTTGAGGAGACTGATTTTTGATTTTTAACTCATTCAACTCATTATTCATTAGAGGAAAATTTAAATTGTTATCAAATCATCTTGTAATACCTTTTACTATGGTTATCTTCGATAATTTCAGTTCTAAAAAGCTCTTAATATAGTGACTGTATCAAATACTATTTGGGTTAGTAAAATACTTGCACAATGTTTTACGAGGTAGTTTGGTAAAGTCAGTTGAAAAAAGATATATGTTTTGTTAGTTTTATCTCTGCAATGATAAACGCTGAATTTCTTACGTATTGCAAGTGTTCCTGCTTGAAAAATGTTAACCGATATTACAAGTGATTCTTGTCTTCATCACAGAGCAATACTTTTTAAACAAGACCTACCATGCTACTCTTTACGCTATCAAACAATATTTATCGAAATAAAAAATGCTCTAATCCAAAGTGTTGGGCCCGGGCGAGCCTGGGCCGGTCCCATCTAGTACCTATAAATAGGTTCTCAATTGGACAAAAAAATCATCATTAGCAAGACAAAAGAAATCCTTCTACTTCTTTCCTTCCAATTTCGGTCTTCATCAGCTTTCTTTTGTTGTTTTTCCTTATCAAAATTTAGTAGTTTTATTTCTTTTGTTCCCTTCTTTTAAATAGCTGGGTTTGTAATATTTAATTTTGCTGATTTCTGTATCCTTTAAATAAATAGAGATGAGCTTATTTAATCCTGGGAAAATATTTTACATTGTTGAAATAGTTTCTTAGGACAGTGCCCATCACGACTCAAGTCAATTCGTATATTTTCGCTCATAAATATTATTACAGTATTATTATCATTATTTTTCGGTGTCAAGCTGAAATATATGCTATCTTGTCAAAGATATGAGTAGTAGCTCACATCTTGGGAGAGTTTCAAAGCAGAAATATTTTTCTGCTCAGATATTGATCTTTTGATGACTGGTTGTCTTCATATGTGATGCTGTATTGGCCTTTTCATCTTCTCAATCATTAGCATAAGTTGTCTCATTAACTCAACTTGTAGCATTGCAAAATATTTTGCCACATATAGTTAATATATGAGCTGGTCTCTAAGGCTTTAATGAGATATCAAAAGAATATAATCACAAAGAGCTCTTAATACCAAGTGCCGTAGCGCCTGGTATTCGAACATTGGCTCGAGATATTTTCTTTACTCCTTCTTACCCTCAAAAGCAGGGACAACATTCTACCTTCTGCTTCGAGCCCGGCCGAGAGTGAGCTTTTCGATAGTCTCTTCCTTCCTAGAAATAGAACTCTAACTATCCCGCCCCTTCTCCTTACTCGAGATAGCTCCGTAAACTAATAACTTAAAATAGACGAGCCCAGAAGATGTACTTTGATGGTGCTGCTCATCAAGATGGAACTGGAGTCCTCTTTCTTACTTCTGAAGGAGAAGTGGTGCCGCACTCCTTCACCTTGTCGAAACATTGTTCCAATAATCTCGCAGAGTACCAAGCCCTCATACTTGACTTAAGATGGCTGTGGATTTGAAAGAGTTGCATATAGTCACGTGAAGCTGGCCTGATATTCTTTCTCACTGGGTTTGTTGGTGTTATAATCAAAAATCGGTTTACTACTTTCACTGCATGATTTACGTCTGTTTAACTTTTTGTTTACTTTACTAAAGTTACCAATCTGGAAAGATTAAGGTAAAATTTGAACTTCTGCCCCTGCAAAGAAACATATTGCTTCTAGCATAAAGCTCAAAGTAGATAAGAAGTGTAGTTAGAAGGGACAAAACTGAGGGACTAAACAAAAGAACAAATGGAAGAATGGGCTCTCTGCAAAGTATCTCTTGAATCAGGAACAAATGAAACTCAGTCTTATTCTGACATTAGGTAAAAGAAGACTTATCAATTTAGGTATTTTATAAGAATTTAAGTTATATACCATGACAGTGTTGGAAAAATCTGTATTATCTGTGTAATTGAACCTATTATAGCAGTGTGATTTCTATTTATAATGATTCAACGCTTATTAAATGAAGTTACCTCTAATCATAATGATAGCAGCTTAAGGCGTTTCTTATCACGAGCATCCTCGCTCCTTGATCGGCGGGGAGGAGCATCTCAAAAGTATGGGACAAAAGATATTGCATTTTGACTTTGTCTTGTGTAAAATTTAATTTTTATTGTCATAACTCATCATTGTGATAAAGTATTTGTCACAGATGAAAACAAATACGAGTTTTTTCTGTAAAACAAATACTACAAATTGCGAATATTTTGTTACGAATCGTACGTAGAAGCTTTGAGGAATATTGTCCCGAATATTTAAAGTTTAATACTCCCTTCGTCTCATATTAACAGTCATAGTTAATAAAAATAGTTGTCTCAAATTATTTGTCATTTTATAAGTTCAAGACAAAATTAATTATTTTTTTTCTTTTTTTACCCTTAGTAATAATTGTTCTTGAAGATGTGGATAACACATAAATAGAATAAATATTCAATGAAGAGAGATTATATCTTAAGACATAAATAAGGGTAGAATAGTCTAATCCCTTTCCTAATTAATATTTCTTAAGGAGTGTGTAAAAGAAAAATACGACACATGAGACTGAGGGAGTAGATGTTAAATAGATAGACATCTGATGGTTCAATTCCATTTCCTAGCAATATGCCTCAATATTGGTTGAATACAGCATTGATTAAACAGACTGTTCCATGAATTATGATTAAAATTTTGAACGTAGCTCTTTCTTTTACTCGATTTAATATTTTGGTATTTTGTTGTCAAAAACTATTGAAAATGTTTTCTCATAGGATAAGTAATCTTCACCATGAGAAGAAAAACAATTTCATTCAAAAAACAATTTCCACTAGTCTCACATTGTAAGCTTCCTTTTGGGTGAGTTAGATTCCACGTTCATTTTCTTTATATGATATTAGTAGAGCATATTCTTAGTTTACCTAATATTACGTTTCAATGCTAAGTTGTTTATGTTTTAAATATTCTACGCTGGACGTGTAAGGGGTTGTTAGAGTATGACAGTTGTTTCCTTGTATAATTTTTGACAATTATCAATCAATGTTAACGTTTGTGGTTAATTTCGATTCAACGTCCATTTTCTTATCATCCACAAGATTTCTATATCTAATTGAACTTGGTAGGTTGAATCTTGACAAAACTAAAATATTCAGTAAAAGCTAAGAAAATGTCTTGACAAACTGAACATTGCAAGACTGTGACAAAGAAACATTGTGGGCTTTAGTTTGGATCTTGTAATCAGAAAATACCAATTTATTTAGCTACCTATTCAGAGGTGCTAAAAGGGTCTTTTAACAAGACAAGACATTCAAAGTTGACAAAAAGCATTTCTATAAGCTATTTTTAGGCCACAAAAAATTGTTAATCAAGTGGCTGACAAGTAGAAACATGAAGAAATAGAGAGATTAGAAAAAGGAAGGGAATTAGATCCAAAGATAGGTCAGTGTTATATGATTTTGATGGGAGGCGTGGAAGTCGATGATTAGGGTTGAAGGTTGACAAGTAACCGTATTTTTCTCCTAGGCTTTCCAATAGTACTAGGAATATTTTTGTATTTTCTTATTCATGGTTCTTTATTATTACATGATGTGTCATTCGCGTTCGTTACCATATTACATTGTTGTTACTATTGTTTGTTGCTTGGTTACTTTATTTTCACTATTCTTTGAGACGGGGTATATCGAAAACAACATCTCTATCTTTATAAAATAGGGTAAGGTATGTATACACACTACCGTCTCCAGATCCCACTTATGAGATTACACTGAGTTTGTTGTCGTTGTTAATAGAGATTTCTCTTATTTCTCTTTAATATTTCTCCTTTTGAAGATACCATTAATTCATACTGGCTTAGCCCATTTGAACATCAAATATTTTTTTTAATATTTCAAACACTAAACTTCAATATTTGCAAAGATTGAACTTCGGTATTTGAAATACTTGTGAAATATTGGTCTGAAAAGTTATCTTGGAGCAAAATGGTAAAGTTATCTTCACGTGACCCATAGTTCAAGGTTTCGAGCCATAAAATTAGTCACTAATGCTTACATTAGATTAGACCGTTAGGCTATCTATATCACACCCCATGAGGTACGACACTTCCCTGAATCCTGCGTGAACGCGAGATGTTTCGTGCATCCGCTTGCCTTTTTTTGGTCCGAAGAGTATTTCAAGTAAAATAACGATTTCACTTAAAAAAAATTCTAATTTCACAAATTTTCTTTTAACTGAAATTAATGTCTTAATAATGTTAATGCCTTGAGCCCTTGGAATATACCTAAGTTCAACTGAAAATACTTTCTTTGGAACATCCACAAGAATTCAATAGAAAGGGACAGTTCATTGTTATTATCTTGTGAAAATGACCAGATTTGCCTATTTTCTCAACCTTTTCTTGATAATCAATGAACTCTTAATAACCACACATAAAAAATGAGATGTAGATAGGATAACTTGTGCATTTCTGCCAATTGTCATTTGCTGTGATAAGAAAATGTTGTTCACACAAAACTTTGCCAACTGCTATTCTTCTGCTAATTTTTCTTATCTCTTTCTGAAATATAGAGACAGAAGAAGTAAACATGTAACAATTTCATATGCAAAAAAGAGAGAAATTTCTGAAAATTCAACAGGCCAAGAAAACTCCATTTTCTCTCTAAAAATTCCCAGAAAGTTTCTTGCTCAAGCTGCTGTTGGAGTCTTTGCTCTAGGATTCATTGATGCAGGGTAATTTTTCATAAATTTTTGAACTTTATTTTCATATTTCTTCACATTTATAATACATTTCAAGATGCTACAATAAAGAGAACCTCTTTTTTTTTTTCCTTTTTTATTACTCGTTGTGTCGTTCGCTTCCGTTTTTGTATTGCTTTGTTGCTATAGTTTGTTGCTTCCTTTTCACTATTACTTGAGCCGAGGTTCTATCAAAATAACCTCTCTACCTTCACAAGGTAAGGGTAAGGTCTGCGTACAAATTAGCCTCTCTCAACCCACTTGTGATATTACACTGCATTTATCGTTGTCGTTATTTTTCTCCGTTTTCTTGTCTTCCCTCTAATTTTTATTTAATATTTCAGGTATAGTGGAGATTGGTCAAGAATTGGAGTGATCTCAAAGGAGAGTGAAGAATTGCTAAAAATTGCAGCATATTTTGTAGTACCTTTATGTTTATATTTTATATTTTCTATCTCTAATAAGAAAATTGAGGATTGAAAGCTTTCTATGGTTTTGTCCCTATTTATTACCCCTGTAAATATTTTTTTATTATGTAAGAACATAAAATTGGAATTTCAATTTGTTTAAACAATTATCAAAGCATCTGATGGCCTTTAGGTCTCTTTCCAAAACTACTTTAATTCCAGCACTAAATTATTCTTCAAAGGATTTAGGTATATATATTGATGGTGTAAATAATTTTTTTTATCTACTGTTGCTATTTAACTGGTTAAAAGTTAAAACTTGTTACTACTCTATTATATCAAAATTGCTATTAAGAGTTATGTTATATGTTAAAAAATAAATATTTGTAGGATAGACATGGACATAGTAACCATTATTGCCAGCATATTTTTAAAATTTCTTCTTCACCCACCTTTTTTTTTGTTTTCTTTTTACTGCCCCTTCTCCAATTTTTTCCTATCCCCCAAGACAATTGTTGATCCTTAGAGTAACTTTATCACAAAAATGATGAAAATTAACGTCAATGTGCCTAGTGGCGGAGCCATGATTTTCATTAAGGGGAGTCAAAATATAAAGAAATAAATTTACCAAGAAGTCAAGGAGTGTCATTATATAGTATATATACATATTTAAAAAAACATTATCGAGCTATACATTGTAATTTTCCGGCGAAGGGGTGTCTGTTGACACCCCTTTGATACATGTGGCTCCGCCACTGAATGTGCCTTTGAGCAATCATTGAAAATCGGTTTACAAGCCATATACGTAGAGCCAGAGACGGAGCTAGGGGACGTAGGGGTTCATCCGAATCTCCTTCGTTGAAAGAAAAATAATTGTATATATTACAGTCAATTAAACTATTTCGTCGTATATAAGAGAAAACTACTCCGCTTATATAAATCCTTCTTGAGAAGGTCGTTGAAAGGTGAGTTTGTCAAAACAAGGACAATTTTTTGGAGAGCTTCATTAATAGTAACTGTTTTACAAAATTAAAGAATCTCATACGTACCTGCTTTTTTTCTTTAAGTATTAATTAATGTTATCGGAATATAAAGTTGCATTTGTTAAGAAATATTTTACTTCTAGAGTGAGAGTGTGAGACTTTCCTAGGCACTTTAGAAGGGATTTTTGCACAAAGAGTCGGCCGAATCCACTGTATACTTTTCCTAGCATGTGCATATAAATTATAAACAATTATACATATACTATACATGAATTATATATATATATTATTTATTCGCCAACTATTTTTAGTTTAAAAGTTAGGTGAGCGACTATTTTGATTAATTCTTTTGTGAAAAGGAAGAAATCCTCAAAATTAATATTTTTCCTAAAAAGTGAAACACGTCTTCACCTAAAAGCTACAGTGTTGTTCTTGACATTACGCAGACTAGTCTTAGGGTACGCGTTTTGCGCGTGTACCCTATATTAATAAATATACTGTTTTAAAAAATTACATAAATATTGTTAAATAATATATTAACTTATAAAATAAAAATTAATGAAAAATATATAAGTTCCTGAAAATGACGAATATTAATCTCATTTAACTAGCTCAGTGAAAAAAAGAGTCTTGCTCATAAAAGTTCTCAATTGCGTTATTATAAGTTCTGAGCTCTTCTACAGCAATGTCTTATGAAAATATTTATATTCCTATGATCTAATATGAAAATAAACAAAACAAAACAAAAACTTTTATCAACAATAATTTGTCATATAAAACAAATTTAAAATTTAAATTTCTCTGTTTAGGAATGAAGAGCTTGGCATTACTGATAATGGACAATGTAAATTCTGAAATGACTAATTTTAACTTAATATTCTACAACAACTAACTTAATATAAAATATATCGGGAGTTATCATTTGGAATAAATATAAAATACTAATAATAATAATAATAATAATAATAATAATAATAATAATAATAATAATAATAATAATAATAATAATAATAATAATGACAACTCGTTTATTATATAGTTTGTATTCTATAATTTCATCCTTATTGCTTCGAGTTTGAATTTTTACCAGTTTGGCTCTCAATACGTACTATTATTATCAATTTTTCCAAATTTTTTGATTTATTTTACCGCTAATGGTCTTCTTATCAAAACAAATCGTTGTATCCTAAGAGATCTATCAACTTCAAAATAATTTTACTTATATAAAAAATAATTAAATTACATTCTTTTGCTAATTAGTTAATTCTAAAACTTAGTTATTTATTCTCAATATTAAAAAAATAGTTTAATTTTGGTTGATGCAAGTTCGTCACATTTGCTCATCTGTAATTTTAGATACTAAACTGTAATTATAGTTTTATTCAATAAGATTTGTATTATCAATGCGTAAGAATTTGATTTGATTTTCTGTCACGACTCAATTTTTCCTCCTTATTACGTCGTGACGGCACCTAGTCTCTACGACTAGGTAAGCCTAACATTTGCGAAATAATAAAATAAAAATAAAAATATAAATTTAACAACATAACTGGGTACCATGCCGCTTGGCATGTACAATAACCAACTATTTCAAAAATAATACACAGTAATCCCAAAACCCGGAACATCATGAATCACAAACTACAAAAGGAAAATCTAGTGTCTCTATACATTAGAGTCTAGCAAAAGAAAAATACATAATATAATGGACATGCGAAAGAGTAGAAGAGGACTCCGAGGTCTGCGGACGCGGCAGATATACCTTGAAGTCTCCAAAGCTGTCTCGACTCACTAACAGTGCGGCTGATAAGGAACACATAGATCTGCACACGAAAATATGTGCAGAGAGTAGCATGAGTACACCACAATAAGTACCCAGTAAGTGCCAAGCCTAACCTCGGTCGAGTAGTGACGAGGTCAGGTCAAGACCCTACTGGTATATATAATAATAAAGCAAGGCAGGAATGAAATATCGCAGTAAAATAAAGACTGAAATTTAACAAGAAAGAATTCATCGAAGGTAACAGCTCAGTACACATAAATACAACAGGGGATCTCCCGAGATACCGTCTCGTAGTCCCAAACGTAAATGTGTAGGGGGGATCTTCCGGAATATCGTTTCGTAGTCCCAAGATTCCAAGATGTGGACCCCACTGTCAATTTTTCGAGCGGAGTTGGGGATTTTTGGTAAATTGTTAAATTGTAAGTATTAGAGTAAGTTGTGATTCATTTGCACGTTGTTTGAATAGATACGAGTCGTTTGGCTTGAATTGAAAAGATAGGAAGGCGTATGGAGGTTGATACACGCAGACTGGAATTTTCGGAGTATTGTACAACTTGCTCGGTATTGGATTTGGCTTGTTCGAGATAAGTAACTCTTCTAATCTTGGAGCTGAGGGTATAAACCCTGAATTATATATGTTATGTATTTGGTATTGAGGTGACGCACATGTTAGGTGACGAGCGTATGGGCGTGCACCGTGTGAACTGTGATTTCATTATTCCTGTGGTACTGTGTAGTTACCTGAACTTATTTGAAATCATGAAAATCTCTACGTAGTAGAGCTATTGAGCTGAGAATCATGTTGAAATCATGTTGAGGCTATATCTCATTATTATTGAAACCCACAGAGGTCATATTATTATTGAATTTGTTTAAATTGAAATTTTAAATTCATTCATGTTCATTCATTTCATATCATCTCTGTGTTTGATGNGCTTGGGCTGAAGGAGCACCTCCGGAGTCTGTACACACCCCAGTGAGCGCAAGTACCTACTGAGTGCGAGTGCCGAGCGTGAGTGCCGAGTGGCTTAGGAGGATTGAGTGACTGTGAGGCATGAGTAAATGTGATGATTGAGTGACTGAGAGGATTGAGTGACTGTAAGGATTGAGTGACTGAGAGAATTGAGTGACTGGGAGGACCGAGTGAAATGATACTCTGAGAATATGTATATGATTTTATCACTGAGGTGCACTTGACATACATGCATAGAGATGCATTTTTCTCATATTGTACGGTATCACGTCATTCATGAATTCTCACACGTATTGGCATATGGGCATAATGATGCATTTTTCACTGGCTGTGTGGAAAGAAAGTGAAACATCTTATTTATTGTTGAAAGGAACTTTTGGAAAAATCATAGTTTTCAGACTTACTCATATTTTTAGTGATTTTCGGCAAAGGATTTGAGTTTTACTGTTATACTTGAAAAGAAAATATTTATTTTTCGGAATTGTATACGAGCTGAGCATTCTATTATTGAGTTATTACTTGTGCTGCTTTAAATTGTATTGTTATGAGATGTTATTGGTTATTGGAGTGGACTATGACCTTGGTGCAAGTTTGTCACTACTTTCAACATAAGGTTAGGTTTGTTACTTGTTGAGTACATGTGGTCGGTTGTACTCATACTACACTTCTGCACCTTGCGTGCAGATGTTGGCTGTTGATGTTGCTGTATTCGTTGGGAGCTGGATCTGAAGATGTACCTGCATTCCGGTTGTATCTTCCTCTTGTTCATGGTAGCCTTAGATTTATAACAATCTGTTCATGTACATTTCGAACAGATGATGTATTATTTCATACCAGTTTTGTAAATTCTATTCTTAGAAGATCATGATTTGTATTACCAGTTCTTGGGGAGTTTAATAGGGTCATTTAAATATTATTTGAATCGGATATTTGTAAATTGGCTTACCTAATGGGTTGGGTTAGGTGCTATCACGGCTAGTTGGATTTTGCGTCGTGATAATAAATTGGTATCAGAGCTCTAGGTTCATAGGTTCTACAAGTCATGAGCAAGTGTCTAGTATAGTCTTGCAGATCGGTATGATGACGTCCATACTTATCTTCGAGAGGTTACAAGGCATTTAGGATAATTTTTCATCTTTCTTTTCTTATCGTACGGAATTGATTCAGCTTGAAACATAACTCTTTGAATTCCTTCCACGCATTCATGTGCGCATGTGAGCGCTCGGTATCAGCTGTGCATCGCCGGCTTGTGATTCCATGAACGATATTTGAGATGTGTATTCTGTGTTCTGGTGATAGGCCAGTCTGGAGGACTTGAGGCCAGATTTAGACCGCAGCTTAG